AGCAAAGTTAAAGAGTACGACAAGAGCTTCGATTTGATTGGAGCAAAGTTTGATTTGGGCCACCTTTGGATTTCGGGATTTGAGCAAAATTTGGGGCTTTTGCTATTTATTTAAGGTAGGGGTTTCTAAGGGCCACTTCTTTGATTTTGGTGAATTATTTTCTTGCAATTTTGTCACAACAAGCTTAATTTGAAAAATTATGTTTATGGTAATTAAAGTTATGTGTATGGAATGTGATGGTTATGTTATATGTGATATTATGTGTGGAGTTGTATACTTAAATGAATTTAAGCATACAACTCCACACATAATATTATGTGTGTGTGGAATGTGATGGTTGTATGGAATGTGATGGTTATGTTATATGTGATATTATGTGTGGAGTTGTATGCTTAAATGAATTTATGTGAAATTATATATTTGATGGAAATTATTACATGAATTACTTGCCTAAAGTAACATGCTTGTGAAGTGAATTTTCTAAATAAGTATTATGTCAATTTTCCCTCTAAGCATGCAAGCATGTTCAAAGTTTTATGCATGAATTGCTATAATAGAATGATGTTGATAAATTGTGATGGCATCGAAAGGCATGTCCATTTCTTGCTCAATACCATGCATGGAAAAATTTGTTTTGAAAAGAAAAGAAATTTGATATAGGGAAAAGTTTTAGAAATTATTTGCGAAAACCTGGGCTAACTAGGCCCTAAATAACGCCCTAGAGTTGCCTTGTGGTCAAGGATAGTTGGCCAATCCTTCTCTCGTGGCATCATAGAGCTACTGTGGGTCGGGTTGCATTAACGGTTGGAATGAAAAAACGAAAAAGTTTTGGAAATGGGGAGCAACATTTGCATATCATTGCATCTTATTGGAATGGCATTGTGTATATATAGTTGGATTACCTATGTTATTATTATGTTTCCCTTCTAAACGAGCATGATCTCGTACTCTCATTCTCTATGCTTTGCTTAGATTCATAAGGTCATTAAGAGGTGTGTCTTAGGCACCTCCTACTGAGTCGTTGTGCTCACCCTTTCATTAATATTTTCAAGTCACTAGAAGGAAGCGGCGGACGACGCTCCTTTACAAGTTTAGATGGATGAGTGGACTGTTTTGTCATCTTTTGTATCTACATTCTCATTTTTTTTTTTTTTATATAGCCTTAACCTAACATGTATAAATCTTGGGATGACTTATGTATCATGTATTGACGTTAGAAGTGATAGTAATGCCCTTAGACGTCCTCGGGTTCAGGTAAGGACCCAGTTAGCAATTCGGACCCCCGGGTTCGGGTCATTACAATTCAAATACTAAGTTTGAAGTCAAGAGTTGTTGGACGGGGGAGTCGCAAAGGCAGGGGTGTTCAGTAAGTTGGGTCTTAGTAAAGTGAAGAAATGTGAGCCTGAGTCAAAGTTCGATGTACTTTGCTTCATATATAATAGATCTTTTTACGCTTGGGATAGCGCACAAAACCTCGAGACTTTCCAATTGGTTTCCTCACTAAAATTTGATGTCACTCAAACTTTACTTGCATTTATTTTTGCTTTGTGGTTTGATTAATTTACTTTTATTTTGGTAAATTTAATTTAAGCAAAAATCAGATAAAAGAGCAAGTTGAACTTAGTCACCCCCTCTACGTTATTTATTTATATTATATTCCACAACTATTCCACTATGTGCAACTCACATAATTGTCATGTAAGAATAGAATGTGAAGGATATGAAATGGTACAAAGTGGACAATGAATTTAGAGATTGAATGATGTTGGGGAGGAAATCTTAGATTTTGTTTTATAAGAAAATGTGTCTGGTTTATATCTTTGTCAATCAGTTTTTTTTTTTTTTTAAATATATGTTATTTTGTAATTGGTCAGGACCATATAATAATTTCTCGATGTACTCAGCATCAAGCACAATCTCAAACCACTCAAAGATGACCATACACAACATACTGAAATGGTTGGCGAAACTAAAGTTTTTCCCAATCCAAATTTAAGCGCTCGGGAATTTTGTTTGATCTTTGTTTCATGTGAAATGAAAGTGATCTTGTCAACATATGATTCGTGCACTCATAAGGAAAGATAGACGTGGACAACAAAAGTAGAAGAGAAAGAAAGGGAAGAAAAAAAAGTAGATTAAATTAAAAGAATTTTAGTACATTTGTTTGTTGGTTACGTGAACATCTTATACAAATCTGCCTTTTCTTATTGTGGTTGGGTCTTAAGTGAAACGGTATTTCTTCTAGTGGTTCCTAATGCTTTGTTCGGTAGGAAGGAAAAAAAATGGATGGAAGGGAAAGAAGAAGGGATGGAAAATATATCTTTAAAGAGGAGATTGTGTCATTATCTTTTTGTTCAATTAGATGGAAAAGAAGAGAATAAACTTACAAATTATCGTGTTCGTTAGGAGAGAAGGAAACAAAATTTTAAATTATTTTTACCATTATACCCATCACAATCTATAGTATTGTATTTATTTATAGTCAATAATATTGTAATTTAAAACTTGTGTAATAGAACCACTTGTCTTCCCTCCCTCTTTCCCTCCTTCTTTCGCACATTTTTGGAATGACGAAACTTTATAAAATATGAAGGATAACTCATCCATCATATTATTCTCTCTCTCCTTATGTCCTCTCTACCCAATGAAGGAAATTCCTTTCTTCCTATCTTCCCTCCACCCCTCTTCAATAATTCCTTCCCAACAAAGCATAAGGGAAATGATATATCATCCAAAATAACAGTGATTTTTTTGTCCAAATCCTCTACTAGATCCCCACAATTTAACTTTACGTACTCTCAAATAATGATATCCGAGGAGTAAAAAACATACAAGCAAGTAATATATCAAGAAGAAAAAACACTTGCATATAATTAACATATGATATACGTGATTCACCCAAACTGTGGGCTACATCGACGGAGCACATCAAACAATTTCACTATAAGATGAAGAATTATAATAAAGAATTTTCCTCTCAATAACACTCGTGTCACAATATTCTCTCTTTTATCACACCTTAAGATCTAATGAGGGTTAGTATATAAACCCTCTCTTAAATGAAACCAACTTACCCCACAACTTTGAGCCTTTTGGAAAGTCCAAACAAGCAAGAAAACTAATTTCTGCAACATGTCAGTAAAATGCGACCGGATCGAACTTATTTGGATTAACAAATCACCGCTTCAACAAGTGCCACCGATCATTAATAGTGTGACTGATCAGACTCCTCCAAAATCTAATGGTCTTCATCTTGCAAGTGCGAACAGTCTGAACTAGTGCAACCTGTTAGACTTTCCCAGAACTGTAATCCGAACTAGTGATCAGGCTCCACAACCTTAACACATAGTACCTTGATCAACTCTATAATCCAGAAGTATCTGTTTTTATCCAAAATAATTGTGGATTTTAAAAAGTATCTGTTTTATCTAAAGCAATTGTGTGTAACAACTTTCAGCAGCCAAATGCTTCACAATATGATAAGGATATAATTTTACTTCTTGTTGTACCACGGAATAAGATTAGTACTAAGATAGAAACAAATATGGCTATTACTTGCCAATCCGCATCAGTATAACTTGCGATCTCAGAAATGATAGGAGTCTTTTATATATATAATGTTACTTTAGTACAGACTTCTTAATTCCTACCATCCGTGTTACATGAAGTACTCTTCCTGTCATGTGAGAGACATGGGACTTTCACCTTGTCCTAGTTAAATGATTTTATCAAATATGTTATGGTATACTCCCTCAATCTCATAATAAGTGTCCACATTTTCTTATTTTTAAACCATTTTTAATTTACACTTCTTGCATTGAACTTAAAAAAAAAAAAAAAAAAAAAAAAAAAAAACATCATCATATAACTTGCACTCACCATGAAAAGATTTCGTAATTCATTCACTACCAATACAATTAAAAAAATATTAAAAATCTTCTTAAAAAATTAAATTCCTTAAAAGGTACACTACAATTAGAACAGAGGGAATATAATATATGGTTATGGATGCTTGTAATTGACTAGAGAATTAAGGAAAAATGTTTATCTATCTTGCACCACACTCATGTCACTGCTAAAAGCACCTGTTGATGCTAGCTGTAGTGGGACTTAATTAGCTTGCAGTGTCTCTCTTTCAGTATGCATATGGTATATATGAGACGTTTAAAAATAAGTTACAACGCACTAATACATTTCTCAGGTCCCATAAGGCACTTAAACTAAAAGACAAAGGGAGTCTCTTCACTATAAAAGGAAGGTTGGTACTTGTTGGTCACCTGAACATCTTTTCTTCTTGTGGTTCCTGCGGGAAATGGTATTTCTTCTTGTGGTTCCTGAGGAAAGTGATATCAGATTTTTATCGGCTATTATTGCACCCATTAGCATTATTGTAGCTTTTTAAATTATTGTACTACAGTCCTAAACCTCCACTATAAAAGGGAGGTCTCACTTCAATCTAAGGCATCAGGGTCTTGAGTTTGAGAGTTTGTTTTAGCATTTGTGTCAGTGTCTTGAGTGTTTAGATGGGTATATAAAATCTACATGCTTAAAGTTTATTGCTAATAAAAATCTAGTGTGTTTCCATCAACGCTTCTATTTTTTATTTTTATTTTTTTGCATCATCAACACTTCCTACTTACTCTATAAAAACCTTTGAAGTAACATGTCATTTGATTCTTGTAGGTGTTGATTTTATCTTTCTTTGCTTGTGACTGGCGTACGTTAAGGTGTGCAGAACACTTCTTCAGTGAAGATAGTAGCCAGTGGTGGTTACTAGCTTTGGAACAAGAAAGAATCTGTGACTGTCTTCTAAAAGGTTAGCATATTTAGCATTACAGAAGCGTAGTGGACCTACATAAAGCCATAATATATATATGATAAATATTGAATATTGAATTGCAAAAGTTGTGGGTCATTTCATAAATTTAAAGGTTTGTATTATACATAGCTATTTAGTTTTGGATCATTTTATATATAAATATTAATTGTTGAATGATATAATGAAGAAAAACCTACGTGCAGAGGTGATGGCAACTAGGACGGTCAAATATGAGGCCCCAAGTGAAACCAGTTATGACCAAAAAACTGAATTAAAAGCATTTGATGAAACAAAATCTGGTGTCAAGGGACTTGTAGATGCTGGTGTAGAGAAGATCCCACCAATATTTATCAACCACAAACATGACCAACTTCACTACAAACCTTATAACCACCTTGATGACTACTCCAAATACAGCATTCCAGTCATTGATCTCGAAGGTGTCTATACAGATGCAACCAAGCGCACAGAGATCATTGGAGAAATTATGGAGGCGTGTGGGAAGTGGGGGTTCTTTCAGGTAATCAATCACGGAATTCCGGTGGGTGTTTTGGACGAGATGATAGATGGGATATGCAGATTTCATGAGCAAGACATCGAGGAGAAGAAAAAGTTGTACACAAGGGATGTCAAGAAAAAGGTGCTGTACATGTCCAATTTTCATCTGTACAGTTCGCCGTCTGCGGATTGGAGGGACACCATTTCTTGCTTCATGGCTCCTCATATTCCAGACCGTGATGAATTACCCACGGTATGCAGGTAAGTGACAATGTTAGTAATTCAATTCAGTACTTAATTCTGAATAAATTAAAGAATTGTTAAAATAATATATATACATAATGCAATTTGGTTAGAATAAGTTTATTTAAAATGAACCAAGATAGTATTTAATTTAAGAATTTCTTGGAATCCTACAAGATCCATTCGTTCTTTTTTCAGATGGTTAGTTTTCAAGAAATTCTTGTTTATTAATTATTAGTTATACAATTAATTTCCCCTTTTACTCTGGAGTGCTGAATACACCCATAATTGTGAGCTTCATGTTATTCTTCCCAAAAGACATGTCAGAACCAGGGCATTCCAATTGAAATGAATGGAATGACAGTATGCATTTACTATCCATATATTTATGTCTTCCTTTATTTAGGATTTCAAGATTTCTTTTATATGATTAGATAAGCTGATTTGATAAGCTTTCCAAAGATATATTATTCGAATAATTTGGAGTTCAATTGACCCCTCAACGAAGATCGAAAAATCAAGTAATTTACGCAGTTCTAACAGCAAACAGATTTTGGGCAGAATGTGCTTTGTACTGGTAACTTTTCTAGCACTGGTATATCAGTCTAGAATGCACAATGCATAGGTGGATTGTGTTCATAGGGATAAATATGTTTTAATTTGAATGTCTTTATGTTGGAACACATTTTTCATGTCAATTTTAAATTTTTGAAAAAAAAAAAAATTCTTTTTTCAGATTTATAGTGCCTGTAACACCAGATCTGTAAATCAAAGTTAAATTCATTCTTGTTCAGTTAATAAAATAAATTTTGCAACGTAATTTTCATATGAACAATTTTGGGTGTAGTTTTTGAAGGACATTCTGAAGCTTCAACCTTGCCAATGATCACCAACTCATGCATCAACACATTAAAAAGGCTACATAGAAGAAAGACAAAATTAAAGTGAGTGAAGAACATTCTGCAACATATAGAATCCTGAAAACAAACTTATACTGAATACAAGTCGCAAAACTTCATTAGCAACTCTAAAATAATTTTATATTGAACTAATATTCTATAAAGTGTGATCCATTTAGAATAAGAGGATTTAGCAGCCAGCTAAGAAGGCTTATCACTAGATCATTATCCTTCGTTTTATGAGCAACCATTGTTATAAAATTCTTGGTCTGCACAAAATATACCTCAAAAGACACGTGGTTTCGCAGTTCTAGAACAAATTAAATGATACTCCCAGGTGGAAAATGTTGAACATTTAGAACAGTCTAAATGATTGATATGTTTTGAATAACTTGCAGTGATATAATGATTGATTACTCAAAGCAAGTGATGAGATTGGGACACACAGTCTTTGAACTAATATCAGAGGCCCTTGGACTCAACCCCAACCATTTGAAAGACATGGATTGCGCCGAGCAACTTCTCCTTCTGGGGCATTACTACCCTGTGTGTCCTGAACCAGAATTAACTTGGGGAACTAGCAGCCACACTGACAGTGACTCCCTCACCATACTTCTACAAGACCAGATAGGTGGCCTCCAAGTTCTTCATGATAATCAGTGGGTTGATGTTCCTCCCAAGCGTGGAGCTCTTGTAGTAAACATTGGAGATCTTTTGCAGGTAAGTCTATGGTATATTAAATTTGCCACTCTTTGGATACGTCGAAGTTGCTTGCAAGAAACTGACGATGCAAATTTTAATATGCAATTTGGTACGAGTGACGTTGATTTATTTTTTTCGTGTCTGGTTTTGTGCAGCTCATCACTAATGACAGGGCTAAGAGTGTGTATCATAGAGTAGTGGCGAGACATGTAGGACCAAGAATTTCAGTGGCATGCTTTTTCAGACCACAAATCAGGAGGGGAAGTTCCTTGAGAGTTTATGGACCAATCAAGGAGTTGATATCAAAGGAAAACCCCCAAATCTACCGTGAAATCTCTGTAAAAGACTATCTCTCTAACTACCTCTCTAAAGGGCTCGATGGAGCTTCTTCGTTGGTCCATTTCAAGTTGTGAAGTTAGTCCCATAATATGGGAACCAGCTCTCTGTGGATTGTGGAATTGGTGATGCTTTTGTTTCCTGTTGAAATAATTCGCTTTCGCTGAAGGTGTTGAAACAATGTCCAGCTTTGACATGCCTGTCACGTTGTTACACAGATTTGTTTTCCAATGAGAATCAATTAGCTAGATAAATGTGTTTAAAACTTCTAATTTAAGGGCTTACTCAATCAGCTTCCCTCCATGTAAAGATAAGTTTGTATGCATCCGACGTCCCTCCTCAAATCTTGCAATGACAGGAGTCTTGCAGCCAAACAGAACCCTCTTTGCCATTTTCGGATTTTAAACCCCTTGCCTTGGGAATTTGATCTTCAACTGTGAAGATCAAATCTTCCTCTCTTCTTGATCTAGAACACCATTTTCCAGTTTTTCATTTTGATGTTGGTTGCCTAGGATTCCAGATGGGTGAATCTCGAGTAGGCAGTTTGGGGAATCCTGAAACTTGCTTTGCCATTTATGAAATTCGACCCCCTTACTTGAGGATTTTGCTCATCAACCTTGAAGATCAAATCTTCCTCTCTTCTTGATCTAGAAGGCTATTTCTCAGTTTTGCATTTTGAGTTCATTTGTCTTGGATTCTAAAGGAACAATCCTCTAGTGAGGTAGGGATTGTAGTATGTTTATCCTCTTGTTATTTGATTTGTATTTGAGGTTTTATATATATTGAATGCATGATTGCTGAATTGTAGGATTGCATTTAGATGTAATTGTATATCCTCGACTTAGGGTTAATGATTCAAAGCATGTCGAATATATATATATATATATATATATATATATATATTGTTGTAAGTAAATTGTTTTATTTACTAGATTTCTTGATTCTAGAAAATTTCTTGTTGTGATAATAAATTCTTGTAGAATATTGTTGATATTTACCTTATGGGCATATTACTATATTGTTGAGGACTTAGTAATTGCGGCTTATTATGATGGTGAATTGATTTAGCATGATAGGTGATATCATTGTTTTATGTTGCTTATATATACATCTTGTATAAAGTGTATTGTTCATTTAGTTGATTACTAAATTCTAGAGATTTATCTTGTTGTTATAATGAACTCTTGTGAAGTATATACTAATTATGTTTACCTTGGAAGCTTATTATTAGATTATAGCATATTTAGTATTTGTGGCTTACATGATGATAACTTGATTTAGTTGCCATATAATATCTTGAATTGTGTAGTAAATTCACATGTTGATACTTGTCATTTAATTTGTATGCCATTTTAGAATTAAAACCCTAGGACATGGTTTGTGTGGTTTCACTTTACTTGTGCATGGAAGGTGGTTTCTTGCATTATTAATTGTGTAAAATTTATGAACTTATTGATTTTGGGAAAGCTTGTAAGGACGTGTCTATGTGTTAGCTAAAGTTTGGCTTTAGTGCGGGAGGCATGAGTTATTCCCAAATGTGTGCACTAGATAGTACCTTGTGGGTCATAATTACCTAGATCAACTTGTAAGGTCTTGATTAAAAATCGAGATCACATGTCCTATTTTTTCCCACTACTTGATTTCGCATTCAATTTCAAGTTGTTAGTCGTTGATTACTTGTAGTTTGTGATTTGATGCTTGAGGTTTTAGTTACGTTTAGTATACTTGTGCCTAGTACGCTTGTGCGTCATTTTGAAGTTTTAATTACATTTAGTATACTTGTGCCTAGTATGCTTGTGCGTTATTTATTTCATTTCAATTGCTTGTGTAACTTGAGATGATCCCTTAGTTCACCTTGCAACTTAGACGTTAGGTGGAATAATCCCTTGTATTCGTCTATATTGAACTTGCAAGACATTTGAAACTTTAGGGTATACGCATGCTCTTCTACCTATAAGTAACTTTGGTTGCTCACCTTTGGGATATTTTCAGGTGAAGAAACCTTGTTTTGGGATGCACAACATCCCTAGGTTGGCTTGATAGCATTGGAGTATTTTTTATGTATTTTGCAAGCATGCAAGTGTTAGCATGTCTTGGCCTCTTTCGATGTTGTAGTATTTACATAGACACTTCTTTTTGATGTATTTAACATGATATGTAAGAAGGCCAAAGGCCAAACATTTTGTTTATGCAATGTATGCTTTTTAACTTCAAATTTTGCTTTGAAATATAATTTTTCAAACTTTGGAGGTTTGGCATGTGATTTTGAGTAAATTGAATGAAATAAGGCCGTAGGCCATAGCAGCACGTATATTAATGTATATTACGTTTGCGTGCATGTTCACATTCACACACAAATATATGGTTTTAATTTTAATCATGCCATGGGGTTCCATTTTTAGCCTTAGGAGGTTTAGGGCAGCATGTGTGGTTGTGCTGCATTTTTTTTGTAGCAGCCCAGGGTTCGGTCCACCGGTAACCTTGTTTTTCTTATGAGTTGAAATTCCAGAAAGTTAGCTTCTCACACAAGTCATTTCGGCCAGCTGAACATTGAGATTTGGCCGGCTGAACATTCAGTTTCAGTCAGCCAATACCCTATTTCGGTCGACCAATTTTCCTTCATCTTGGAAAAGCTGCTTGGGCTAGGTTTAGTGTTTGTTTTCCATTCCTATGCTTCCATCTTTTGGTTTCAATTTTGTTTTAGGTTCTTTGCATCTTTTATGGTCCGTTCGAACCATTTCCAACCTCTTTCATGCGTCATAGGTGCTTTGGGCACCATTTGACCATTTTACCCTTGACGGCTTAAGGTTTGGAAGTCTGTTTTCCATTTTACGCTCTTAGGTTTGCATTTTGTTTCCATTTAGGCTTCTTGGAACTTATTTGGCTTGTTGGTAACAAGTTTGTTCCCTTTTGGTGTCAACGGTGCCAAAAGGCACCATTTTACCTTTTTGACCTTAGCTTCTGCATTCGGTTTCTTCTTTAAATTCTGTGGCTTTGTTGAAGTCCATATCGGGTCTTAGGGTTTGTGCTTATATATCCCTAGTAACCGTTTCATTTTCTTTGCTTCCGCATTTTGGATCCGTTCTCAGATCAATCCATCGGGTTACTCGATGATGCACCGAGTTTGTAAAACTTGGGCCGTCACAATTTTTGAGAGCACACACATAAACATAAGAGTGATTTAGGAGATTTGTTCTCTATTTCATTGGAATTGAAGTATAATTGAAAATTCAGAAATTCCGAAAAGCAGAATTCATTCGTTCTTCATGAAATTCAGATATGGAAGAAAATGGGTGAAGCAATCACACTTTGAAGGGGTCAAAGCATTCGTGGAGTGTTGTTTGATCTACTTGGAACTCTTCTATAGAGATCAAGAGTAAACGTGAGGTCAAAAGTTGTTGGATGAGGGAGTCGCAAAGTCAGGGATTGTCAGCAATTGGTTTTTAGTAGAACGATAGAGTGTAAACCTGAGTCAAAGTTCAGTGTACTTTGCTTCAAATATAGTGGATCATTTTTCTCTAAACTATATAGTCCAACGAGGTTTTTCCCGTAACAATTGGGCTATTATACTAATAGGGGTTTTCTCACTAAAAATCCTAGTGTTATCTCTCAAACCTTATTTACTTTACTTGCACTTTATTTTTGTTTTATGGTTTGATTTTAGTTTTATTTTGGTAAAATTAAAATAAGTAAAAATTGGATAAAAGTGCAAGTTAAATCTATTCACCATCCTTCTAAGTAAATTATCCATATTATATTCCACAACTATTCCACTGCGTACAAACTCAACAATTATCGTGTTCGTTGTGAGAGAAGGGAACAAAATTTTAAATTATTTTTACCATTATACCCATCACAATCTATAGTATTGTATTTATTTATAGTGAATAGTATTGTAATTTAAAACTTATGTAATAGAACCACTTGTCTTCCCTAGCACCCTCTTTCGCCCATTTTTGGAGTGACGAAAATTTATAAAATAGGAAGGATAATTCATCCATCTTATTATTCTCTCTCTCCTTATGTCCTCTCTACCCAATGAAGGAAGTTCCTTCCCTCCACCCCTCTTCATTCATTCCTTCCCAAAGCATAAGGGAAATGATATATCACCCGAAAAAATAGCGAAGTTTTTATCCAAATCTTCTACTTCATCCCCACAATTTCCCTTTATGTACTCTCAAACAACGATATCCGAGCAGTAAAAACATACAAGCAAGTAACATATCAAGACAAAAAAAACAATTGCATATAATCAAGATCAGATATACGTGATTCACCCAAACTCTAGGCTACGTCCATGGAGTGCATCAAACAATTTCACTATAAGATGAAGAATTATAGTAAAATAATTTCCTCTCATTCACTCTTTTATGTCACAATATTCTCTCTTTTATCACACTTTAAGATCTGATTAGGGTTAGTATATAAACCTTCTCTTAAACGAAACTGTAATGTTTGTGATATATATGTATATATATTTAATGTTAAAAGAAATTATTTTAATTAGTGGGCCCCACCAATATGTTAAACATTAAAAAAGGGCCTAATGGCCTTTAACCGAATGGCCTTTTCTCTCTCTACATATCTCTCTCTCTCTCTCTCTCGTCCAGTCCAGTGGCTTTTCTTTTCTTTTCTTTTTTTTCTTTTGCAATTTCAAGCTTTGATTGCTCCTTCCATTCTTGGAATTTTTGGGCGCCGTTTGCGGCAAATCGAAGAGCATGGCTAGATGTACGTGTGAGTACCAACAATTTCAGTTTTGGTGCACTCTAGGGACTTCGAAATTCTAGGGTTCTTGGGCTCAAATTGGGGTTTTTCTCAAATTTGAGGTAGGAGTATTCTAATCTACAACTTCTTGGCCTTTTGTGAATTTCTCCCTTTAAATTTAATCCTAAGCATGCTAAATTTTGATTACCTAGCTTGTTGTTGTTGCAGTTATGTGTAATTAAAATGATAAATGTGTTCCATGTGTTATTTGAATTCATATACATGATTATTTTCATTACGGTGAATGAGCATGCTTAGTGTTGACATATTGTATGCCCTAAGATTATGTATTTATTTATTTATTACTTTAAAAAATTGATGCTATGGTCATAAATAAATAAATAAATAAAAGAAATGAATGTTTAGAAATTTCTATTAAATTGTGATGATGATGTAAATGGAATGTGTGAAATCATATAGTTAAATTAATGATTTAAAACATGAAACATTCATGCATCTATTGGGAAAAATATTTGTTAGAATAAACAAAAATTATTTTGGGGAAAATATTTTCTAAAAGTGTTGCAAAAACCGGATACCTAGGAGGTGCCTAGTGGTCCGTGATATTGGTGTAGTCTATAAGGGAATGTAGTTGAGTTAACTAGGCCGGATGCGACGCCTTAGAGGTGCCTTATGGTC